ACTGTTTTTCAGTAGGAAAAGGCCATAAAATAGAGAATGTTGACAAATAAATATGGATGTCTATCCTGAGCTCTAGCCTGCAACTTGACAAGAGACTAAATGACCATGTAGTCACATTAAGAGATGAGAAAATAATTCCAAAAGTATATTTTTGCCATTGAAAAGAGAAAAAAAAAAAAAAAAAGAAAACTAAAAATACTGACCATGACTTGTGAACCGTGATCTTGAACTGTGTTGCTGTATTGGAGGCTGTTACACCATGGTTGTTCTGTGGAGATGTTCGGAATGTGTGTAGGAAATGACTCTGACTCGTCAGGACCTGTAGATCCTGGTAAACCCTCAAAACCATCAATGCTTCTAGCATTTTTGAAGGGTGAACCTTCTGGTGGGAGGGCTTGATGTGCTTCCTGGAAGACATCTTCGCTGATCTGCCTCTTGTAAGGGTGAAAGGGGTTTCTGTTGCTCTTGAGAAACCTGTCATAATTTCCTACAGTACTTTCCTCGTAACTGTACCGTCTGAATTTTTCAGTACTGAAAGACGCTTTAAATTTGTTCTTGCCACAGAGAGTTCCTTGGCTTGTAGGGTATCTCCCATGAATTTGTTCCTGGGCTGGAGAAGCAGGGCTGGGGCTGTGAGAAGACTCTGAACTCTTCCGTTCTGTCCTGCTGTCTGACTCATATGGTTGGCAGTTATAACTGGGATTATCCTGCAATGAATTATTGGCATTTATTTAGGATTAGTATGAGCAAATATTTTATTATTTTTATTATTTACAAAAATAAAAAAATATTAAAAATACATTATTGATGAGAAGTATAAAATTACTAGTCCTAGCCACCTTCATGCAGGGAAGCCCTAAAAGATCTAAAGGGTTTTTTGGTTACTTGGTATCCAAAACTGTTCAAAAGTAAATTAATAAAAGCATTGAGAAGACTGAAGTAATCTTAATTTGTGCAACTATCTTGGAAAAACAGGACGTCTTAGGTAACTATTGACTAGTTGGTCTGACAATTTCAGGGAAAAGATGATGTATGATCAAGTGATGAAAGATTAAATGACAGGAATATGATAAGTGCAAGTCTTGTCATATACAAGTTTAGTCAAATAAGCTTGATCTCATTCTCTGATGGTGTTACAAGCTGCCAGATATGTTGCTAGTTACATCACTTCCTTTCATTAAGATAGCCACGCTCATTCTGTGAGACAGGTAGGCTCTAGGCAGACATTCTAACCTTCTTCCTGTCTCATCTCCTCCCTTCCCTTTTGCACTTTACCAAAAAGAAAATAACAGCTACTAAAGTGCTCTTTAATCTAGAAGGGAAAGGCTTAACAAGAACTAGTGTCTGGATCCTGAAGATGAACACATTCAGGTTAGAAATTATGCATATTTTCCCTGACATCAAGGATGAGTAACAACGTGGATGCCTTTTGAGAAGACATGCTTAAGTCAAGAGCAGGTTATTGTGTGCAGTGAAGGGGAAAATGTAGTGTCCTGTGTTACACAAAAAGTCAGACCAGATTGTCAAGTGGTACCTTTCCTCTTTCCCCCTCTAAAATCCAAGTTGCTCTTACAGTATTTTAGGAGAACAGGTAAAGGAATATATGCCTTCATGGAAGAACCAGATTTCAAGAAGTCCCAACGGGAAGTTGGCATAAAAGCCAGTGCTTTCTGCAGAGTGGAACCTGGCACAGCCTTTTCATTCATCTGCACATGGGTCTGTGTGTCAAAGCTGTTAATGTTTTGTTCTGTCATGGATTCCTGCAGAAAGCAAATCTGACCTCGTGACACTTTTGGCTTCTCACATGAACGCAAACTTGCTCAGTTTGTAATTCTTTCTAATTCTTACTTCCTCGCTCTCCTCTGTAGTCCTAATACATGTGTTTATGATGTCTTTTGTTAAATAAGAATTTTAAAAAAACCCTATATTTAGTTATATAAAGCTGTATGAATGACAGTGCTGTCAATTCTCCACCTGAAATTTTCATAATAAAAGTATGACAATGGTTATTTCGCTGTTTTTTGACGAAAAACACTATTCTCAGTTGTACTTTTGTTTTGAAAAATAGGAGAGGGATTGTTTTATTCCAAAAAAGTCCCAAGGAATTTTGAAGTGCTTGAAGGTATCCTCTACTGACAGGGAGTAGACATGTCTCTCTGTCTGCTTTTTTATTTATTTACTTTAGAAACAGGATGAGAATTACTTTAAATGTAGCATTTTTACTGGATTAGTTGCTAGATGGATTGCCTGTTTTTTTTGGGGGGGGAAAAGTGGGGGGGGGGGGGGGGCGGTGTTGGTTTTTTTTTTTTTTTTTAAAGTAATACAATTTTTAAGCAATCGAATAGGAAATTTAACTCAGAGCTTAAGGTTAGCTCAGAAGAATAACTCAAGTTTCTACTCTTCAAGAATAAAACTTTCAATGTTTACTTTGTTATCGGTTAAATAGGCTGAGATTTATTACAGCAATTGCTGGATATTGTATCTGAACTTGTGCCTCTGAAGAAAGAGAAACAGAACTAGGCCATCTTACTCACAGTTTGCTGGACTGGGGATACTGAATCCCCCTGTGTCTTCATGAGGTCTTGACGGTCCCTTTCCAGAGTGTCCGAAGAAGAAAATTTAATATTAGATTGATCTTGGAGTAGTGAAACCATTACCAAATCCACGTCAGACAGAAATCCTGTTATGACAAAATCAAATTACAATAAATATTTTCTAAAACTTAAATTGTAAAAGAAACCATCTTGTTACATGCAGATGACTAGACAGTGATAGATGTGCAGCTGGACAATAACCCATCCTATAGAATTCCTAATACAGTTGAATTTTTTTTTTTAGCTTTCACAGAAATGTTCTGTAGGTGCCATTACAATGAAGATGTGATACAGAGTTCTATGGATTTACCACACAATTTTTATAAACCTAAGTCATTACTTTGTTTTCTGTAGGTTCATAATGTAATGAAAATATATTGCTTTGGGGTTATACAAATTTAGCGATATTGCTTTATTGGGAGATTGTTATATAAATGCACCCCCATTGCTTTCAGTGGATCTATATAAAATAAAAAAAGGGTTTTTTTGCTATCATTACTTAGACTGGTGGTTACTACAGACTAATATTTTTGCTTTTACTTTTTTATTAGTGCCAATCCCTTCAGCCTTTTTGTTCTGTTTTGCATGATTAAATGTATCTGAGATATGTAAATAAGTTATCATTCCATACCTATTTTTGTTAGTTGTATCTCCTCTCAAGTTCCCTATCTTTGATCTTTGGATATATGAGACATATCTGATGGTGTTCTTCAGATTAAGAGCAATAAATTTAATCTTCTAGTATTTTGTTTTCTACCACATTTTTTTTTTCAGTCCTTGTTCACTGTAACCATACAGTAAACTGCAAAAGAAGAACTGGCATCCTCTTCTTATGTCATGCACATAATGCTGCACCAAGTGTGTACCTATGTAGAGATGTCTTGTGTTCATCGTTTAGATTTCAGGTGTACAAGTCAGGGAAAAAAAGCCACTGTACTTGAAAAGTTAATTTGCCAAGTCTTTGCCACGTGTTTAAATGGCTGTTAGGTAAATAACTAAGGGGTTTATTAGGTTTGGTTAAAAAAGATGTATCACTTAAAAATGTGGAAAACCTTTTTTGCCCTTATAGTTCAAAGAGAAATCTATATTTATGATGAGTAAGACTGCACTGCCCAAGGGGATAAAGCACAATGGGGCTTGGAAATCAAGTATGAAGCCTATAGGAGTGTATCAGGAAAAAATGATGTTAGATAAAGTTCAGAAATGTCTTAGGCGCAGACTCTTCTCCCAGTAGCTTAACTGGAGGCTGATGAGGAGGTATACTTCTAACTGACGCTCATCTTGAAAGAAGCAGGTGGGAAAACTGACAACTAGGAAATATGTGTGTGTGTATATTTGTAAGTGTTCCACACTGGCTGTCCTCTTAGTGCTGGTTTCCCATGTATCTTCAGGTATACAGAGCTGCGTCTGACCTCTCTTCTATAATGCAATTTTTCAATCCAACTGCCTAATTTGTGGTCTTAAACATTAGAATTTTATTAAAAGCTTTTTGTACAGTTCTTGCCTAATGACATTTGCATTGCAAGAGTCATTTGACAAATGGTCACAAGTGAAGAAAAAGGAGGAGCTTGATTTCAAGAAAATCAGATTAATGGAAGTAAGAAAATAGGTAAGTCAAAAAGCTCTGATCGCAGAGTATAATAATGCCTGAAACTTTTCTGTTCTCATTATGTTTACCATTAGGATCTGTGACAGAATCACATAAAAAGAGCATTGTCTAAAGGGTTAATTCAACAGGTCAGAAAGGTCTGGTTCTGCTTACTGAAGGCAATCAGACTTCCTTTCTGAAAACAAAGTGAATATAACATGGTTATTTGGACAGTCAATGCAAAAGGTCCAGGAAAACCAAATGATTATTGTCCCTCCCCTCCAAGACTTTTGTCAGGTTCTGTTTATGAATTTCATTTTGCTGTCTCTTGAAGGCTGGTAGGAAAGGAGAAGTCTTACTGACATTTTAATACTTTAAAAATTCTCCCCTGCATAGTGAAAGTGTTTTACTGAATATTAAATGAGAAGCAGCCTTGTACTAAAACAATGTCAAGCTGATAATCTGCATTCAATGGCTGTTACTTAATGCCTTTGTCGAGAATCTATTTCAGAGGGATCTCCCATATGGGGAAAAATCCCAAGCCTACAATCACAGTGCTGTTTTGAGTTTTCACATTAAGATCAGCACCATTCTTAAGCAGCTCAGTAATAACTGCCTCTGCAAGTTATCCTTATCCTAGAAATGTCATGCTGTGGATATGTCTTGCTGAGAGAGAAAAACCTCTGGCCATGTACTTCTGACTTTCTCATTTTTTCTTGGAGTCAAACTTCTCACTCCAAAAACCATTTGCGACTTTACTTTCACTGATATGTATCACAGCAGGCTATGAATACAGATAAGTAGAAACTGCCACATTAACATACTGAAAAATCCTTGCTGGTATTATTCTTTAAATCTTGGTTTTTGTTTTTAAAATGTGCCTTAGAGAGAATAACTTTATTCTGTAGAAATAATATATAACAAAAAACCAAACCACTTTGCATTGTTAATATGGATTTTAGCAAAGAGAAATGATACCACTTACTGACAAACCTTCTTTAAAAGGGAAGAAATTACAATCAGTGGAGGTTGTCAATAATTAGGATTACAATAAATCATTTATAATAAACTGTTCCTGGGAGACAGAGAGTTTAAGGAAATTGTGGATGTAGGACTTGTTAAAGAAAACAATGATGCTTTGATTTGGAAAAAGGTATCTGATTATCCCAGATGTAGCTGGAACCATTCCTCCCCAGCCCTTGTCATTTTTACTTTTGTAAATGTTGCGTGACAATCCTAGGCTCCTATGATAAGATAACTATCTTTAAAAAAAGAAGATAGTGAGAAACTGTAACCTCAGCTGAGCATTTGAATAAGCAAGGTAGCAGCAGCTGATCTATTAGCTCTGCATGACTGGAGTCCTGTGGCAGCAATCCATAGTTTAAACAATTCTTGGTTTTGTGTCTCTTCTGGATATTGGAGGGCATTTTGCCGGTGATACACTTCACCAGAGCTCGGCACTGGGCCGTCTAAGCAATCCGAACTGCTCTAAACGCTGTATGTTACTGTAAATGCCCTCTCCATCCCTTGGGGCTGAGATCAGTTTTCATGAGGGGAAGGTGTGTTTGGATGTTCCCCAATTCGTAATTCATTCTGCATGCATGCCTTAGGCAGCTCACTGATCCTTGCTTGACACTGGCTTGTATGATCTACTCTCTTCTCTGCCCCCTCCCCAAAACACTAAATCATCTTTTTCCTCTCCAAATCACACTGATGTTTTCCAATGCAAGAAAGAAGTAACTATTTGGGATTTTTTTTTTTTTTGAGAAGAGGGTCAGAGAAGCCATGAGGCTTTAGAATTCCACTTTTCAGTTTATAGTTAAAAATCTGCCGCCCAATAATGTCAAGTTCCAAATATTGTAGAAGTGACCAAAATTTTGTGACTAAAACTTGCCATGTATATAGGAATATTTCTATGTGTAATTATTTATATGGGAAACTTTCATAAGAAAAGGAATTTATTAATGAGAATCAGAAATTTTTGTGGCTTACAATGAATGCAAGACCTTCTTTCTAAGCTTATTTCTGACAGATTGACACTGAAGGTTGTGCTGGATCATGTTGGTGGTAGCTGTGATTGCTTTGTTGATCTCTAGCATTCTTGTCACTAAGGCTTGCCCTATTTTTAGAAGACATTTTCAGGAGCAGCATTTAAATCTACACAGCGCAGCAGTAGACTCTGGTTTAGGCACATCAGTTTCTTACTGCTTTCTTGCTTCTCTTTATAGTATGTATTGGACCTTGATTATAGGATACTTGAATAACTTTTACAGAGCTTCTAAGGACTGTATTTTCTTCTCTTCTGAATTTAGATCCGTTTGTGAGTCTTTGTTTAATTTAACTACGCTATTTTTTCTTTCTTATTCAAGGGTTCTGAGCTCAATTCTCTCGTGGTTAGCTAGTGATTACTGCCCACATTTAGCTCTCTCTTGAAATAACTTTTGCATATTTAGTGGGAGCACATGGAAAATAAACTTAGTTCATCAGGGCTGGAGCAGTGATAATCTCAAGTATGGGTGAAGAAAGTTTGCAACCATGAGACCCTTTCTGCATGATATTACATGGGATGTGTTTGCTACCCTCGTAATAGTAACTATGGAGGAGGAAAGAGGGATTGGCTACAGCTGCATTACAGCTTGCCTGATGTTACATCTCTCCATGTGAATCAATTCCTATGGAATAGTTATTCTGAGAGTGATATAAATGTAATGTATTAATGTAATGTATGTAACAACACTGGATGAGTTTGCACGTAGGTAGTTGGCTTTCAGAACTCCATAGATGTGTAGATTCTACTCAAGCAGATATGGTTGTGGAATAATTCCATATGAGTTTGGGTTTGAGACTTGTTATGTGAACTGACACCTGAATAGAATAATGATGAACTTAATTTGATAAATCTAAACAGAGCAAGTTGTCTAGTGGGGTATTCCAGTGTTTAGGATTAACTCTAATGTCATTTATTATTTTCATTAGAGATTTGAGAGAAAGTAAATCGATTGATGATGTCCACATGTAGTAGTAAATTAATAGTAAATGAACGGTTAAGACAAATATTACTGAAGGGAATTGGGTGCTAGAAACGTGGTGGCATTATGAAATAGCAAAAGATATAATGACAAATGGAAAAAATGATGAAGAAGCAGCAGCCTGGATCTAGCAATCCTCTGAGAAATTTAGGAGTCATAGACAGTGTAGTGGTCTGCACTATCATAGACTATAAAGAAGTCTACCAATATTTCAGGTCACCGAGGTACTGAATTCATGTAAGAGAAGGATGCCATTTTTTATGAGATTATTCCTGAATTACTAGGTTTTATTTCTTTTCATTAAGGACTACCTGTAGGCAAGGCTGAATACCAAGTGATTACTGGTGTACTATATAAAGACTTAGGGTAATTGCCACCATGTCCGGATATGCTCTCAAACAGGAGCGGCTAGGACCTCTATAACATCCAGGTGCTTCCTGGTAGGTGGAGAGAAAAGTGGAGTGTTTGCAGCAGGTGTTTAACCTGCTATAGGAACACATCTATAAAATACTACAACTATCTGTATAAACAAACTCTTTCCAAAAAAAAAAAAACCCCACGCATTTATCCTAAATCTATCGTATGGAAAAAAATGTTTTAAGAGGCAGATCAGGACATTTCTTTGCATGGCTAAACAGAGTGAAATACATAGGCAATGTTACTATCACTGCGGTCTTTAGTCCAGGTTCCCATCCTTACATTGACATTTTAGCTTTTCTTTTTTGTTTATATTTTATCCTGCATCTGTTACTTCTGACACCAACTGTGAGAAAGGACGAGCATGTCTGTCCCTGCGGGGGACTTTGTGTTTGTGATTTATTAGATTTTTGTTATATTTTCCTCCCCACCATTGTCTCTTTTCTGGGCTGAAACTAGTCATTTCTCATTCTGAAGCCATTCCAGATCTTTGGTTATACCTGCAGCCCTTCCTTCAACAGCTTCTAGTTCTGCTAACACCTTTCTGGGATGGGGAGGACCAAAACTACATGTAGTGTTCAAGATGTAGGTACGCCATGGTGTTTACACAGCAGATATTCTCCAAGTACATAGCAATTCACTCAAAATCAAGAAAAGCAGATCATAGGGTTTCTCCTCAGCTGCATTGCATATCCTATTCATTTTGGGTATGTGGTTTACCTCTAATGCTAAAGTATTCATTTATGCAGAAATAGAAAAGATGGCAGAAATTCATGCAGTATGGCTGAGATAACAACACTATAAAAACTTCCATATTTCTTGTAGACTGGGCAGACCCATCATTTGGGAAGCCCTTG